TCTCAGAAAATTTTTCAACAACGCCCTACTTCAGAATTTTATTGAAAGATGCCTTATCCGAATTTGTTTCAAAAACGCCCTACCTCAGCACAATTTCGATGTATTTTCGTTTGAGATAGGGCGTTTTTCAACCAAATTCTGAGGTAGGGTGTTTTTCAATAAAATTCTGAAATAGGGCGTTCTTGAAAAGTTTTCTGAGATAGGGCGTTTTCGAACGGGCTGCCAAGGTAGGCCGATCCCCCAATCAGCCATCGATATACGGTGGTCTTCTTATATCTGCGTCATTTCTTAATAAATATGGCTGTACATTAGCCACATAGTTAATTTCTGTCGTAAGATATCTAGGAAGCATACGATTTTTAACTTTGAAAATGAATAAAATTACATTATAAATCACACGTTGGTTGACTGACATCCACTTCAGAGTATTATAACAAAAACATTTACAAAATATGGATTCCCGAGTGTCTTTCGAATAAGAGGATTGAAATATATTTGAATGGTGAATAGTTATTATACAAAATTTTGAATATTTTATACAATTTGATTTAAGTTAAAATTTTAATTAAAAAATATGAATTTACATATTAATCGTTTAATTACCAACGGGATTCAAAAAACGTCAAGATAAAAAATACTCCTCCTATTTTCCAGTGTCTGCAGCCAAAAAGCGGGACTATGTGCCGAAAGATTGCTGAATAAATTAGCTGAATTGTTTTTAAAGAACTTACAGGCTTAAGGGCTGACTATAATATGAATAAGTAAGCGTATGCAAACTTCCGGTTTTTCCGCCGGGATTACAAAATTTATTATATTCTAAAACGTCCACCAACATATTTCGGAAAAATATTAAGATTTAAGCGAGCTGGACCGATTTGAAAATACCTCAAAAAAAGGAGTTTTTATGAATAAAAATAGTTTCATAAAGAACTTTTTGAGAAAAGTCCCCTCAGATAACAAAACAAATTAGGCTTAAAAATTCTGCATAAAAATATTTAAAAATCTTTTCAACGGAATCGTAATAATGAGATTTTTGATGCTGTTTTTTACTTTTTTCAAAGACTGATTTAGGAAAAACTTAAATAACTGGGCCAAAACTATTCTGGCTTAGACTTATGGGATCTCGGTGAAAAGGTATTTTCCCACTTTTTTTCTTTATGTGCAAAAAAAAATCATTCAGGACCCAATATTTTTGTTCTCAAAACCAACATATCTTAATTCAACTTTGAATGATATTCGTTCATCCTACCTTTCTCTTTCATCCTTTGAATGAGTTTATTAGCAAATAAATAAAAAGGGTGAGAAAATACCTTTCCAATGGTATCTCACAAGTCTAAATCGGGAGAGGTTAGGCTCAGTTATTCAAGTTTTTCTTATACCAATCTTTGAAAAAAGTTAAAAACAGCATCAAAAATCTTATTATTACGATTCCGTTCAAATTATTTTTTTTTAATTCTTTAAAAATATTTTTACGCAAATTTTTTAAGCTTAAAGTTTTGTCATTTGAGGGTGATAATCGCCACAACGATTGGAACCAGTTGTGCCGATTTGTTTTC